TGGCTCCAGGAGCAATTCGTGAATAGGCAGTTCGAGTTAATCAATGTTGACACTACCCTCCAAGCTGCAGACATCTTGACCAAGGCGTTTGACAGCACCCCAGTGTGGCACCATGCACTTGAGCTGATCGGTATCTCCCCCAATCGCCAGGCGCGAGCCTGTGCCACCAGTTTGCTGCTCTCCCCGTGCGCCAAGGCCGGAGAAGTTAGTGATCAGGGGGGGCAGATCGCCGCGCTATGCAACGCTCAGCCCAAGCGCCTCCTTATTGAGTTCTGTTGTTCGACGACCTCACGGTTGGGCGAATCAAGAGACTCTTCAAAGGGATGTCGTGTCATTCGGGTAACTGAAACCGAAGACGGGTGCTCTGATACATGCAGGCAGTGGTTAGTCCATGAAATTGCCGAATTTAGGAGCAAGAATCCTAAGGGTGCAATAATGTTCTACGTTTCATTGCCTTGCACTGGAGGATGCCCGTGGGGTTATGTCAACCAGCAAACTCCCAAAGGTACTGCCAAGATTGAGGGTCACATCAAGCAATTCCGATCACTGCTGAGAGGGTTCAAACGCATTCTCAATGATGTCTATTCTGATGACGTTAGAGTTGCCTTCGAACTTCCCAAGGCGTGTCGTTATTGGAAATGGCCCGAACTATGGAGTTTCTTGACTAAGTACAAGATGAACAAGTACGAATTCCATGGTTGCAAAATCGGCATTAAAGGGAGAAATGGAAAACCTATGAAAAAGCAGTGGGTCGTTGCCAGTAATATGCCCACTATTTCCGTGGTTGAGTACTTCAAGTGTGATGGTTCTCACGAGCATGATGAAAGCCGTGGTACGCATTTGAAGGAAGCCGAGGGATACACGTATGTTTACACCGATGCCGTTCACAATGCATTTTCTGAACATGCCACCATGCAGCCGTTGCTTTCGAGTGATTGTGCTGCATCTTCTTCGCAATGAGCAGCGCGACGGCTATGGCGCATCCCGCGAGGGATTGCGATCCGGCATGGAGGAGATGGATGGAGAATGTCGCTACCACTTCGGTATGCACGAACGGCAAATACGACGCTAACCTCGCCGCCACGGTCAAGGGCCTCCTCGAGACGACCTCTGCACAGTCGCTTATTCATACATGGGTGCAGGACCAACCGCACTACCTGCAATTGCTTACACCCCTGTTAACCATAAGCGAACCGTACTTGAAAGTTTTGCAGGCCCCACGTGTACCAGACCGCGACCTCCTTATCTATGTGACTGTCGCTGATTCAGGACTGTCCATGGTTTCGGGCAAGAAGCGCAAGCTTCGCAAGTACGACTTTGCGGAGCGTTTGGATGCCTCTCGCCCGGCGCGTGTCGGTGCATGGAGGTCTGAAATGCTTTGGGGCAAGGGCTTACAACAGCTGTGCAAGCGGTTGGCCGCCCTCATCGACGAGGTGCGTACCGACTACCCAGCAGCCACCATCATTCCGATGATCTACTGGAATGGCAACGAGCTCGTTGGGAAGGACGGCCTCGAGCCCACTGGTACATATCCTTACGACACCCCCATCGGAGACGCCGAGCAACTTCTCGCTGACACCAGACGGCACCTGGCTTGGACCAGGGATTTCGCGGCCCGCAAGGGCTGCGCATGCCTTGGAGTCATGACCGGCGCGAAGAGCTACCTCTACGGCTTCTCTATGATTTGGGACCGTTTCATGACGGAAGTCCGGGATTACATCATCGGCGACCCCAACAATATGTTTGTATATGTTGATGCTACACCCTTCGTCGAGACCATCGATTTGCTGGACAGGTATCATATGTGCTTCAGTGACGACAATATCACGAAGACCGTCCAGTTTATGCGCGGAACCCATCATATGTTGTACATGCTTTCCATCTTGCGCCCCGCAATGGGCAGCGTAGCCGAGCTGACACGTTCGCATGGTTGCACAATGCGTCCGATCGATGTGCTCGAGGTGCGCCACCAAGAGGATTGCACAGTCAACGTTGAGGTTCTCGCGTACTGCAAGGAAACGCTAACGAAGTGCGGCGTTTCATTGTCAGAGATGATCGGGCTCCCTTTCACCCGTGAAGAAGTGGAGTTCCGGCAGCCCCTCGATTTCGCCCCTGTCGATCCAGCCGAATTTGCAACTTCAGGTGAGCCTTCCGGTGCTGATGTTTCCGAAAGTGTTCGCCCGGCGCAAGCCGGTGCAAAGGCGGCTGCGGTGGCACAGAGGGACGAGGCGACGAGCAGGCCGGTACCACTCGACTCCTACGGGAGGAACGTGACTGGGGGCCACTACGATTGCTGGGTTTATAGCATCCATGACGGCGTGAAGTATGTTGACTATGGTGAGGGCCCCAAGCGACTTGAGATCATCAAGCAGCCTTCTTTTGATTACGACCCTTCCGTCAGGAGAATCAGCAATGAGTACCACAGCTCCCTGACGTGCATCTCGAAGATCCTCCGTGGTCGAGGGACAGAAGGATGTGGGTACGTGATGGATGAGGACGGCTACATGGACCTTGAAGATTTGGGACTCGCGCTTCGCAAGGAGCTGCGACATCCCATTCCATGGAATATTCAAAACATCATGGACATCTTCAAGCTCGACAAAAAGCAGAGGTTCATTGCGCTTGGTTGCCCGGACGCAAGCCGGTGCGGAGATGTCCCCTGTTCTCATTGGATTTTCAAGATCAAGGCCTCCCAAGGCCATGAGGACTGGCTCCAAATTGACGACTCCGGCATCGCGAAGGAGTGGTACGTGAACCCGGGGACGGACCTCGGGCGCTGGTCTGGCTGGAACGTCTGCAGCAACCCTCCTACGGTGCTCTATCATCGCACCGATAAGCGGAACTTCGCCAACATTATGCGAAACGGACTGCTTCCAGGAGGAGGTGACCAGCACGAGACAGGCAGACCTCACGTTTTCTTCGCTGACATTCCGAGCACGAACGAAAATTACATCTCAGGTGTACGCGCTAACAAGCCCTTGGAAATACAGATCGACCTCAGGATGGCCATTCGCGCAGGGCTTTGCTTTTTCAAGACAGAGAGCGATGGCGTCCTCACGCGCGACAAGGTGCCCAACTACACGATTATTTCTGTATTGGACGCTACAAATGGCGATGTATGGTACACTCGCTCCGAGCAATCGGATGCAGGTGCACCAGCTGAGGCGAACGAGGATGAATCGCAGGGGATGAAGCGCGACCAAGCAGTGGTTGATGATCGATCTACAGCGCTGGAACGTATTGCTACGACCCGTACCAATGTGGCGTCTCCTCGCGCCCCGCAAGGGGAAGCGAAGAGACAGAAGACTTTCAATCCAATGGAGAACGTTGAGCTGAATGTCGCCGCATGCCCGGTCTGCAACAACAGTGTGTTTGAGGGGCAGGTCCATTGCTCGTCATGTGGGCAGTTGTCTCCCCTCAATCCTCGGCTGCTGAAAGAACAGCAGAGGAATTACATTGTGCAGCGTTCCAACTTGCTGAAGAAGATGGGCCTCAGCACCCATGTCACAGCCCAGGTTTTGGCATCCGTGGGAACTTTTGACCTCCGCGAGGAGGATCGTAGCAGCATCATTCGTGGCTTGAACTCCCCGGACAGTGCTGTTATTCAGGAAGCCCGGAAGAAGCACAAGTCCGCTCTGAAGAACGGCTACCACTCTCTGCTTGATCGCTATGAACTCGACCTCCAATACAGGGTTCGTATGCTTGAGGTGGGCCGTCGGGAGGCGGACATGCTCCGCATGGAGTTGTGTGCAAATCTCGTCTTAGCAGCTCCAAAGCAGTCGCAAGCCCAGCGCACTCTGGGAGTTGGCCTTGGATCAACTTCGGAGTCGCGAATCGCAAGGCTCGCGTATGTCAAGACGGAGTTGGAGTTCCTGCCCAGCGAACTTCAAGATGCGCTTTCCTCTCGCTGGATCATTATGTTCCAAGGGATGCCTTACAGCCCAAGGGCTTTTATCAACGTGGTCTTCGAGCAAGATAAGCCTCGCAGCATTGGTTGTTGGAATGGCATCATCCATGTTCGAAGCAACACGTTGGAGGACCTCCGCCACGAGATGGACTGGGTTTTCAGCCAGAATGAGCGTTATGCTCGTAACTCGGTTGAGTTTTCAAAGAACGAGAGCACCAAGCACCTCGCTCGCAATGCCGCTCGCTATGCCGATCAAAGTGCTCCCGCCGCCCGCGAGGGTGAGCATTGGAGCCAAGGCAGCTGGCAGAACTGGTCCGGTTGGGGAGGATGGAATGACAGCAGCGGATACCAATCTACTTGGCAGTGGCGCTAAAAGCGCAACTGTCATGGTTTGCATGTATACAACGGTTCCCCATGACCTTCTCCCTCTGTTGTGTTTCTGTTTGGCTGCTTTGTGAAAGGCCCCTTTAACACGCAGAGGGGGGTGAAGAATTTGATCGGTCAGTTTGGGGTTTTACATCCGTTGCATCCGCAGTGTGGCTGTTCAAGCGTGAAAATGTGCGAGCAGCGCACTTGGACGGTTTGTTGTTTCCTCTTGGGCCCCAAACCGGTAACCCTTGAATCTATACCTCGGTCCAAACCTCCTTTCCTTGAAACGGGCACTGCCGTGAAATGAGACTTGCCGGCGCATGTCTTTGTTGGCCTTCCGTCCGGGATGGGACGGCTGTTCGCTTGGGGTTTAGTGAGTTTGTCAAATAGGTGTGGCTCAAAATTAACCAGGAGGGGCTACGCAGGTTTTAGACTTTGGTTCCACTTACCAGGGTTCCATTTTGGCACCGGTTTTTTGAGCCACAGCCAAATGGCTGCAGACCTGAAGGGTGAGGTTGAAACGGCAAGGACAACAACGCTTTCGGTGACTCAGCCCAACTGCTTCTTGAAAGCAGCACGACAGAGTGTGTGCTCAACCCCCACAGACCCCAACCCCAAAACCCCCCAAAACCCCCCAAAAAAAACCGAGCCACACCTGTTTCTGCCAGGTGACGTATATTTCTTTCCCGGGGACTTTCCCAAGGGTTAACGATGGATCGCTCAGGGGTCGGCTTGAACATCGAGCTCGCCGGCTTTTGCGCGTTTCTCCCATACCTCTTCGGAGTCTCGGCTTTGTACCAGCGACAAATGTTGGGCCTCCTCCAAAGCGACGTGTTGTTGTTGTTTTTGTGTGTGTGTGTGTGTGTGTTTTTTCCCCGGGTTCAGATAGGCAAAATATACCTCTAAGAGTGTCACACAACTAAACGATTTGATTGTTTTTAGTAGGTAGCCATGGGCACCCTTTGAAGACCAATTGGAACGTGGCTGGCTACCTACCATAAGAGTAAACAATAAATAGATAAATCGGCTGACATAGAGTCAGAACATAATAATACGTTCTACATGCGGGAGTGACACGGGAGACCAAGCTCTTGTGCTGAGAGATGCGTTTGGTGTTGTGTGTTTTTTCCAATAAAATAGAGACTGGTCTGTGGTATGGATTCCATGTGAATCTGCAGAAGGTATGCTATTCGTACGCTTTTGTGTCACAAACATTTCGAAAGCATGCAGATCCATGAGTATCGTGCTTCCATTTCGTCTGTTGAGCAGTCAGGCATTTGGGGTTGCAACTGTGTGCACATGTGCACATAATGCCATTTGCTCGTGTGCTTAGACATGCAGGCATGCACCCGCATCATTGAAGCGTTCAAGCGGCGCAAGGTTCTGCTTTGTAGGCCGTGCATTTGCGCTCTTGAAGTATATGATGAATATTCATGAACGGAAGATGCCAATTTATGCAATGACCCTTAATGTTATGTTTCTAGCGCAAGCCCGCCAAGGCAGTGTCAATTGGTACGTGGCCTGCCCAAGGGCTTACGTTTCAGACGTTATCGTGGTGCGTTGGAGCTTGGGCAAGAGGTATTCGAGGTGACAAACACTGGCTTTAACGAGTCGTGTGTGAAGATGTGCGGAGGCCGAAGTTGTTTGCACCTGGACGAAGTGTTGTACCGGGATGCTCTTGCAATAATTCATGTGCAGTGCAAAACTTTAGGCTTTGCTTCAAGAAGATGTGCGCCCCTGGACTTCAAAAAAGGCAATCCGTATACCACTGCGTCGCGATAGCTACTTCTTTCAAAGATGTCAGCTCGGAAACCTGTTTCATCAATGCTGATGACCTATCGGCGTGCAGGTCGTGCAAGCAATGCACTAAGCCAAGCAGACAGATGCCCAGAGCAACGAACTGAACATGAAACTTGTGGCATACCGATATATGATATATATATATATACATACTGTAGATAGATGCATACAAGCCCCGCATAGTTGAAGGAGACCAAGCTCCTCCTTTTGTCGTTCCATTTGGGTTGACACTTACAGGCTATCCCAACTGGCAACACCATGGCAAGCGAGCCATCGTGAAATTCGCGTTTGGGCTAAGGAGCGATCGCCAGTGTGGGTGTGGGCAAGTTGGCAGATCGGCTTCTGGAGGAAGGCTGGAGGGCGAGACGAAAAAGCGCTGGGCAACTAGATCCCCCAGCTAGGTGCCCTTTCTCTCCCCTTTTTTGGTTGGGAGGGTTCCCCTACTAAAATAGACTACAGAAAAAAAGGGTACCCTGATTCGAACCTCTCCACTGCAGGACCTAGGCATGAAACGGCATGAAACGGGCACGGGTTTGACGCGGAAAAGTGCGGGGACAGCCTTCCGCTGATCTTCGTTGAACGTCAATACTCAATTGTTCAGTGGGTTCCACGTGGGTTCCACGTCCAACGTCAATACTCATCATCCCAAGCTCGCGAGAGCCACTGGGCAACCGGTGGCCACTGGGCAAGTGCGAGATTGCCACATGGCTCTGCACGTTTTCTCTTTGACTCCACCACTCTGTAGAGATCTCCCGTACACAGTCCTGTCAGTCTTGAGGCACTTTCGAAAGTGCCACTCCGCAATTCGATGTGGGAAAGGGCTGTTTCAACGTCACAGATTCAAATGGCGTGTCTTCTCTGGGTTCCTTTCGACGACCAAAAAGATGGCTGGTATTGAAGAACCCTTCATGATACTTCTTATGATACTGTGGATGGAGAAAATCGTGCACCACCGAAGAGACCCTGGAATAACGATTGCCATGTGAATACCAACAAACAAATGCTTCCCACGGTTTCCAAGTGGTGCGGTCTCGGACGTCGCAACCATCCACAGTGCATTTGTGTGAAGCGATCCCAAGTGTTTCAACGTGGCCTCAGAAAGGCTTTTCCTTGGTCCGGCGTTTCGGGGCTTCTGCGTGTTTTACAAGCGGAAACTCCAGAAGAGGCCGGCATCCTTTTAGGTCTGTTTGAACATATTCAGGGTCCGCTGGTTTTAGCTCAAATATTCTGCTCCGAAGATTTCCTCCGGAAGACGAGTTCTCTTGAAAGAAAAATGGTTCTTGGGGTTCCTTCTGCAAATCCGCAGGGGAGCATTCGTTTCCAAGTGCAATCCGTTTACGAGAACTGCAGGCTGGGAGATCCCGAGATTGCGGAAGACCTTCCAAGGCAGGAAGCTGGTTTCGAGTGGCATTTCGCCGAGTATGCCCAAGTTGCCGTGAAGCAGGCAGTTGCCGTTAAGGAGGCAGTTGCCGTTAAGGAGGCAGTTGCCGTTGAGGAGGCAGTTGCCGTTGAGGAGGCAAGTATGGAGTCATCCAGAACTCCAACAAGACCTGGCAGCCTTTTTGTGTGGCACAGTCGTGTCTGGCGTTATGGGGGCGTGAGCCTTTTGGGTTTTTGTTTTCCTTTTGGCATGACCTCCGCTTGGCCAAGTGCAAGTTTTTGTTTTTTGTTCATGTTGTGAAACATGGCGCGGAAGCTTTGGTTCATATATGCTCCAGTACATTGGACTGGTATGTCCAATTCCTCAATTTACTCCAAGTCATTCATTGCGCCTGCTGGGGATTATGTGAAAGGCTGTGAACTTCAGCGGAAGTCCTGTCTTTTTCTCGGCACTGTCCTGTCAGCAGCACGTGTTGTGCAAGAGTTGGATATGCGTCAAAACGGGGTGCACTTAAACCCAACCTGAAAAGGTGGCCCTCTAAACCCTGTTGCAAGAAAAGTCTTTAGTCCTGGTGTTTTATTTGAGGGGCTGGGATGTTTCTGTACCGAGTCTGGGCAGAAGTTGTTGCGCAAGCAAGACACAACGCGCGCGTTTGTTTGTATGTATGTATGTATGTTTGTGTGTTTGTTTGATTGATTGATTGATTGATTGATTGATTGATTGATTGATTGATTGATTGATTGATTGATTGATTGATTGATTGATTGATTGATTGATTGATTGATTGTTGTTCATTTGTTTGTTTGTTTGTTTGTTTTTTTTGTTTTGTTTTTTTTTGCGTGTTTGTGTCATGGTCTGCACTTCGGGGGCACAAAGGCGAATGGAACGGACAGACAGCATGATAAACCAGCGGTGTGGGTACAACAATCTCACAAGCTGCTCAAGAGGCTTCAAGATGACTGGCGCGCAGGAGCATCGCGAGCAATCAAGAGGTTTGCGTTCCATCATACAGCCGAAGTTAGGAGGTGTTTGTGACACAGCCTGCAGCCACTGCAGCCTAGGCATGCGCGTTTGCAAGTAACAGCATTGCCTTTGGCGGATGTGTTGCCGGACAAACGGCATTGCCTCTAAGACAAGAGCCCAGAGAAATGTGGGACCATATCTTGCCTTTCAAAATGTTGTTCATTTGCGTACGATCTTCACATCCTCTTTTATAACTATATCCCCTTTTCCAACAATCGTGGTAGTTCCTTTTCAAGAGGATAGTGCGCAAGGTGCTTTTCAAGAGGATGGTCGGATGGTCTTCCAAAACCATCCTGTGCACTTCCATGCTCGGAAGGGTCGGATGGACAGGTGTTGCCTTCTTCGGGCCCGCGATCTGCATGATCCTCAATGCGACCATCGGCACATCCTTAGGAGCGGGCGGAAGGTGAGAGGTACAGGATTTCAGCATGGGATTAGCGGGCTGGCTGTGTGTTGCTTGTTTTTGAGAGTGCTTTTTGTCCCCCGTCGCCATCCTGTCTCTGGGACAATCAAAGTCCGAACCTGGGGTTGCTCCCAGGGGCGGGGGGTAGAAATGATGCAATTCGGCCTGTGGTATGCGGTATGAAAGACTAGGAGTTACATGGGGCATCCAAATTGTTTTTGCTTTTTTTCCTGACGGGGTGGTATGGAGGTGAGTTGATCTGCGCGTGGTTCAGATTTGCCCCGTGGCCATTTATGTATTCTGTGCCGGAGGTTTGATCTGCAGCAAGCGCGAAGCTCTTTTGCTTGCATGGCGATGATTGGGCCGTCCCGCTCATCGCCCACAGCTTTGCCAGAGCACAAGTCATATTCTTCGAGGTCGCATTCAGAACCAGGGGTTTGTGAAATTTGCTACCAAGCTCTGGACGTTCCTTTGGCGCTGTTTTGTAAGAGCACAATATGCATTTTCGGGTCGTTTGCCACAACCAGCGGTCACACCTAATTAGCTGTGGCTATAAGATCACATGGCATGAGGGGATGATTCAGCCGTATTTTTATTTGCGTTTACGAGACGGGTGTTTTTTTGTTGGGCTTCCAGGGTTTGCCTCAACTTGTGCAGCCATGAAAACTGACCTAACGGCGGGGCCCGCAGGTCCATGGGCCATGGACAGGGCTTCACATGGCTGAGAACGGTAGGTTCGTGAGGGACTCTCCAAGTCGAAGACTCTAAGGGTTGATTCCCCATTCTCTTCACCCATCGTTCTCTTTAGAAACCACACATTTTCCCAGGGATTTGGCCTGTTCTTTGAAGAGAAGGATCCCTGAAGAGAATGGGGAAGGTACAGCTAGAAAGACGTGTCCAGGCAGCACATGATGAGTTAAACACTGGCGACAGAGCCACACACTGCTCAGGCATGCACACATAACAGATCGTCACATTTTCACGAAGCTGCAGACAGCAGATACAGCAAACTCACATATTGCGACGTTTCAGCATGAACGCAAGCCACGCATGGTGAGGGTTCCCTCCAAAATGGTGGGTGTTCCCCTTTAGAACCCCAACAAAAAGGGGGGTACCTTAAAAAAAGGCACCCGGATTTTACGAAGGTAACCTGAAACCTTCCCTGGGCTGCCGATCCGAAGCGTCACGACTTTTTTTGCGCAAAAAAAACGCAGGAACTGTCGGTCAGGCCGGATCCTTGGAGCAGAGTGGGTGCAGTGCGGGAACCTTCAGCTCATGACCGCAGATGATTCAACCCCTGTAGATTAATATGGAGGTGTCCCTGGAATTTTAATGAGTGGGGATTTAGAGTAAACTTTTGCAGGGGGAAAACCCCCAATACAACCTGAGTCTGCCCGGGACAAGCTTGACTTGTCGCTGAGCATAGCTTGACATGCTGCTGATTGCTGTTGGTTGTGAGCGTACAAGAGGCAATGCAGTCTGGTAGGCAGGTCTGGGGCTGCTAAGGGTGTACGTCTCCCGTGAAAAGCATGCCAACATCCTCAAGTCACTTCTCAGCTCGCCGGTCGGCCCTTGTGTTTTAGGTCGTGATGCCACCGAAGCTCATACGGCCCACCAATCCGAGTCCTGGAGTCTAATCTGAGGGCCCATACTTGACTGCTCTTGGGCAACGGATCTTTAGACTTCAACTTTTGTGGGAAGTCAAGGAATTGGTTTTCCACTAAACCCACAAAAGGTTAAACTTTGTGCGGCACGTTCAACAGCAACCAAGCATATTATGTGTCATTAAACTTTACAAGGTGTGGGGCTTCCTGCGGTGCAGTTCCTTGACCATAGGAACGCCTGGCTCGTAACAGCTCGTCCGGCAGGCTGCTGTGATACCATGGGAGATCTCCCGGTCAAATGGAGAGTTCGTTATGAAGTCCTTTCATTGGCTAGGTCCCCGAGCTAGGTGCCCTTCTCTCCCCTTTTTTTTGGGGGAGGGTTCCCCTACTAAAATAGACTCAAAAAAGGGTACCCTTTTTCTAACCTCTCTACTGGAGGACCTAGTTGACATCACACTTTCAAATTTTCCTTCAGTGGGGGGAGCGTCATGTACCCAGTTGCCCAGTGGTGCCCTTTTTCTCCTTTTTTGCAAGGGTTCCCCTTTGAAGTCAACCAACGAAAAACAGCATGCCTTTTTTCCCATGAAAATCCACTGGGCATCTGTGTATTTGAGGGAGGCTCCTCAACGGATACGGAGTGCCTTCCTTGGCGGAGATCCCGCAGATTCGCGAACCCAAAACATCTCTAGGGGTTGATTCCTTTTCCATTATTTTCAGCCATCCTTCTTTTCAAAAACCGATCGCCATTTCCCCAGGGATGTGTGTGGTTTTCTAGAAAGAAGGATCCCTGGCAAGGATGGGGAAGTTACCCCTAGAACATTCCCCTTTAAGACTCACTTTCCCAAAGCCGACGTTTGACCTTTTGGTGTCCCCATTTGGGTCCATTTTAGTGGCCCCAAAAAGGTGGTAACCTTTTATTTCCAGCTGGCAACTGAGAAGAGGAATCTCCTTTGAGAGGAGGGTTCCATGCTGCAGGAGCCCTGCGCAAGCGAGTGTCTCCGGATTCATCCAAAGGGTTTCACATTCTAAGAAATGCAATGAACTCTTCCCATGAAAGGGTTCCATTCAACCTCCCCCGCTTTTTTGTTTCAATAACCTCTTCCATGCTCATCCTTTGTTTGTTTTGTTTTTGACAGGTTTTGGAGGCGTCTCGAATTGGACCACCCCCACCCATCCCATCCCCATGCCCCGCGAGCCACGTGCTCAAAACCCGGGGATTGATGAAGGTTAGTAAGGGAGTATCCGAACCGTAAAGGCTGCGGCCGCCTTAGTTCTTGAAGCATGGCTCTGGGCGCTCCATTTTGGTACCGGGTTTTGATTCTGACTCAGGTGGGGCTTCTGGTTCTGGCCACCGTGCTGAAAGCGGGGGACCGCGCCGGGCTCTTCTGCACCCACGCCGATTTGAGCCCCCGCTACTCCGGGGCACCTCGGCCTTCGACCCCTGGGTTACCTTGCTATGGGGGGTGGTTGGGTCATGAACTCCTCAGGGGTTTCTCAGCCAGGTCCCCCAGTAGTGCCCTGTTACCCATTCTTTGGGGGGAGGGTTCCCCTACTAAAATAGACAACAGAGAAAGTTGGTAATTACCCTTATTCTAACCTTTCTACTGTAGGACCTAGTCACCATAACTTGGGGGGGTTGCTCAGGATGGTTGTGGATTCCTTCGCTTTGTTGATAAAAGTCATAAGGTTTCCTGGTCGAGCCATGACTATCCGGAACGATGGAGCGATCGATCCGGTCGCCCTCAAAATGAGCAAAACGTGAGGGTCGAAGATTGCCTCGTTTTCCCGGGAGCTTCAACCGTTCGGGTTTTGTGGGAGCAACCTTGGGAGCAGGTCGAAATGGGTGCATGTGTCTCGAAATGAGTTGGAAACCAATCAAGATGGTGGGTTCAAAGCCGCGGTTGCAAATCAAGGTGGTTGTTGGGAAACATTTTTCATTTTTGCTTATTGCGGTTTAGTGGGAAATCCCCACTTAACCGCTAAAATTTATTTTTTGCTCCCCTTCCAACGTCAACCAACTCTATAGGAGGCTTTCCAAACAGTTGGGTCAGAATGGATGGGTCTGTTTCATTCATGTTCTACGCCGTTCTCAGCCAAGTGGAAAGGGAATCCACGCTGAATCCGACCAACCAAAAAGTAATGTTCCTTTTCTAACAGGGTAAGCATGAACCACCGCGGCTTGCTTTTTGTTTCATGTTTGAGTTGGTGTGCTTGAAAACAGCTACATTCCCTTTGGGGTGGGGGTATGTCGGTATTATTATGCCCAGAACAGCCAGATCCATATTTCTGCTCATGGTGCACATCCTATCTCTGCAACTTAACTTGTCCAAAATAACTTGTGCACCTGTGAGCAAAAACCCTTGAGCCATGAGCGGGCGAGGTGTATATGTAGATATACACAATAGGTGTTAGATCAGTAGCATGCCAAGGAGCCATAGCCGAAGCTTCTGTGTGAGCATCATGAGGCAATCGGTCGTTGAGTCCAAATTGAAGCTCAACATTGAAGTTATACCATGATACTTCAGCTGTGCCACGCAAGTGGATGCTGGTGAATTACCAAGCCGAGGATGTCTACTGTTACCCGTTCGCTTCCCTTTAAGATAGCCATAGCCAAACAAGGGGGTACCAAGTCCAAAGAAATACACACCCATGTTATTAAAGACATTTCTGCCTGCTACAGTTTGGCTCGGTGGATGTGCTGAGCGGCTGCCTGAAAGTTGATCCTTCGCGTTCGCTATAGGCCCTGCTGGCACTGTCTTCCACAGCAGGAGCGGCATATGGCTGGGTCAAAAATTGGTACCCAAAATGGAACCCTGGTAGATGGACACATGGACTAAAACCTGCGGTCCCCTGGTGGCTCAATTTTGACCCATTCCCTGGGCGGAATGTGAGTTGAGGCATCCACAAAAATGCACGTGAGTTGAAAGATGTTTTTTTTGTTTGGGCCCAGCTTTTTCCTTCTAATGCAACCAGGGCTGCACATGGGACAATGGCCCATACAGGCACTTGACTCATGAAGCAAGATCCAGGCGGTCTTGTCTCGGACGTCCAGGCTGTTTCAGCTGTGGTGTCACACTTGTGTGTACATCCAGTCGCCCGCTGGGCCAAGGCAGATGCCGCATGTGCCGCTTCCAGTTTCATGGTTTCCGAACAAGGCAGTGGTTTATTTCACCCAGGGAAAAGGCGAGGGACAAAGAAAGGGACTTCGGTTTGCCCATTCACCAGCGAGCAGAGTCTATGTGGCAGTGCCGGATCCTTGAAGCCAAGATGTCGCAGATTTTCAGGTTTAGAAGTCCTTCTGCGAACTGGGGAACCCTGGTATCGGTGCTGGAAATACATAGCGACATGGGCTGTAGAAGTATTGTTTGGGAGGGATCCCTGGATCCCTTGTTAAACTTTGCTGAATCGTGCTACTTGGTTCTGGCTTTTTTTGCATGACAAGTAGCTTGGCGGTGCGCAGCCTTTTAGGTCTTTGGTTGGCTTAATGGGGGGTTCCATTTAGCACACTAGAAGTTACCCTCCCTTCCACTAACATAGCTCCTGCGGGAGGGTACCTGGAAGATCATTCTCCTCTTCAATGGAGCCTTTGTCAGGTGCCATGTTAGTGGAGCGAGGGTAAACTGTTAGCAGAGGATCTGAGGACAGCCCAGAGAAGGTGGTCATCCGCGAGAGACCTTCCGGGCGTCGTTCAGGAGCCATCGCCCCCATTCCGGTGATTGAGTACATCGGGCAGCTGATCGACCAAACTGGGTCGTTTGCCGTTGGACTTTTCGCATCTTGGACGAGATATTCGACAGGGTTCCTTTCGCCCCAGGTCAGGCGATTCGCCACAAGAAGTGACAACCCATTCAGCTGGGAACATCAATCTTGCGGGGGGGTCAAAGAATGATACCTGCATACACAGGCATGGTGCAGGCAGTTAAAGCTAAGATGCACATACAATTCTTCATTCTTCAGCTTCTTGTGAACTGCAAGATTAACAGCTTGTCAGGCTCCACAAAATCTGGCTGCCCTCTCCATTTGCTGCAAGCAGCTTTGCAGGATCTAAAAGTCTGATGTTGTCTTCAGCTTCTTTTCCTGCCAGGTTAGCAGATTTCAGGCTGAAGCAGGCAACGAACCACTCCGGCAACCAAGCACCAGGCCACCAACCCACCAACCAGGCCAAGCAACCAACCAAGGTCCCCCAGTGCCCTTTTTCCCTTTTTTGGTTGGGAGGGTTCCCGGTACCCTTATTCTAACCTCTCTACTGGAGGACCAAACACCAGGCAACAGCCTTTTGCGTCAAAGCGCTGCAGGCGCCGGTTGCTGTGGCGCAGATCCTCGGTGGGATCATCTACGCCGCTCAGCTGAGTCCATTTCGGGGCCACAAACATAGATTATGCTTTTCTCCTGTTTGTTTCCCTTTCACTCCCCAAAAAGCGTACTACCCTCCCACCAGCTAACGTGGAAGTGCACAGAAATTGTGTAGAAAGACTACATTCCTTTCGGAAAGGGCTTTTTTGCACTTCTGGTGGGAGGGTAAATGGATTGTCTTTGTGGTTTCCCGTTAGAAACCACAAAAGGACCTACTATCTGACTTGCCCAACCAAAAGTATGGACACATGTCCATGCAGTTTTCCCAAACACATCAACAAGTTGTTCAGGTGAGTTTTAAAGGGGATAAGGACTGTGGTTAAACCGCCTGCACGGGCAAGTACACACATGGTCCCAAAGTGAGTTTACTTATGCTTAACTGGGAAATGTACTTGTGGTGAAGACGCTTGGACACAAAACGCACGCACGCACACCCTGTCTTCTTTGCGAACGAACAGTTGCTTAGTCCTTGCTGGCACCCTCTTGCAAGCATCGTTTGACTTCTGCTGCGACCGTAATTAGGTGTGTTGCATGCTGTTGGCGCATGTCGTTTCTGTTGAATTCCAACATGCACTGATCCGATTGCATTTTTTGTCCGTAGCCCAAACTTAGCATTGTGGGCTTAGCTGGCATCATGCCCTTTACAGCCACGAGAGCCTACAAATGAGAGCGCTACGCAGCGCCAGATCATGGCAGAGTTGCATGCAACCTTGGTGGATTGTGCCCGTGCCATTCTTGGGCCCAACATTTCATTGCTGTGACTCATACCACAGCCCACTGCGCAGTAATTAGTCAGGGGGTGTTCATATTGCGAAAATCCTCACCGCGGATTCTACTGGACGTTGTTTGCAGACAGGAGGAATCGTTCAAGCGGCAGAATCGGGGAACCCCGGCCGGTAGGACGGGTTTGGAGCTCGAAGTCCGCCGGCAAAGTCGTCCCAGGTCACCACGGCGAACAACGAGCGCCAGAAATTCGATGAGCTTTAAGTCAGAACTTGACCTGGTGATCCACTTCATTCCATTGGCGTCCTTTGGTTTGTGGGAAAAAAAGAAAGCCAAATGTTTTTTTTTAAGCAACCAATTCGTGGGCCCCTTGGGAGACACACCCATATGGCATGTGTGTGTGTATGTGTTTTTGTTGCCCTGTTGAAGGTTCAAAGGGAGACCGTAAGGAAAGCCACATGTTCGTGGGAAACCCCGAATTAGTTTGACACATACTCGCAGTAGCTCGCAGTTAAACACATGTTACATGGTCTTGGTGTATTACAAAGATCTTTTGAAATCGGTCTTGGCACATGAGAGATCTGTTGAACACGTTGGGTGGTCCATTTAACCTGCAACTTAGACGATAGCGTCCCATGCAAAATTCCTTTGTTTCATGTTAAACCGAAGCCATGGGTCGGAAGACTGAACGGCTCCCACCGCATGCCACTCTTGTCCCCACGAAGCTTTACGGCCAAAACAAGGCGGGTTAAGGGTCAGGTGGGTATTTGTTGCACTCAAGTCGCATAGTTAGGTCCCCCAGTAGTGCCCTTCTTAACCCCTTTTTTGGTTGGGAGGGTTCCCCTACGAAAAAAGACTACAGAAAAAAGGGTACCCTTATTCTAACCTCTCTACTGGAAGACCTAGCCAAGTCGCATAGTTAGGTCATGATGTTGAAGAGAGCGCAACCTGAAGCCGTTCTATTTCCTTCAGATTGGGGTTGCGTCCAATCCCTCCGACTTCAATTCTCATTTCAGACAACTTACTGTGAAAACATGGGACACCACGAAAATATTAAACCTGTTGCTGTGCCCCAACCCACCCGTGGAGTGCCTTCTTAATTTGTCCATGGGACCCTCTTTTTGCTTTCCCTTGAGACGACAAGAAGAGAGTCGTTCACCGGGTCTGAGATCAGCTAACGTTGCTTCCAGCATGATGATTCAGTCGCATGTATTGTCAGTTCCGCTGCCTGGCGTTGGATCTCAGAGAGTACTTCTTGGAAGAAGATTTTAACGAGGGTAACAACCTCCGCTTCGCTTGCAAAGATTTACCTTTCGGCCATTTTCCGTGTTGCCTCAACTGTCGAGTTGCTGGGCTTGAGCAGCCGAGAAAACAACGAAGAGAGGACTGCAAGGTGTCTTTTATGTCGCTCACAGTCCAGCCGGCAACAGCCATCTTTTCTCAATCGTGCGCAAAGTCTCTAGAATAAATAGCTGACACTGCCATGTTTCATGTTGTGATCCGACCAAGAAAGAGGTTGCGCACGAAATTTCTGCACAGCTAAAGATTGCATGTGCACGCTTGCGCTTACGTAGTGTCCCGAGCGTCGAGAGAGCCTTCTTCGGATACTGACAACATGCTGCATGTGACAATATGGTGGATCGCCTTTTCACGTGCTGTTATCTACGCAAATGAAATGTAATGTTCGGTTTGAATCATGTTTCCTGGCTATACTGTTGAGCAACCTGCTCCAAAACTTATGTAGTTGAGTCACGAGATCCGAAGAAGTCATCAGCTCGTTGGGCGTTGCAGCACTGCAATTGGTTCCCAAATACCGACGCCATCAAAGTTGCGTCTCACATCGTTCTGGCTGCACATCTGCGGTGAGAGCAGCATGGCGGGACTATAGTTGCAGTCTGCAGATGCTTTCTTGGGTGGACAGGGAACACAGTGAACAAATATGTTTCCTCGATTATCATATTGACTGCTGCCTTGGCTGGATGGGATTGCGACCTTGCTGCATTTTATTCGTGCCGGGGTCTGGCACACGGATCATGCATTTGCAATCGGGGGGTAATTTGAGAATCCTAGTATAATGCTGGGTGAGTCTAAAAGTCATTGGCTTCTTCCATTTGATTTTCCCTTGTTGGTTTTGAAAGGAATTTATCGCTGCTGGAAATACTTTCATTTTTCCCAGGGGTCTTAACCAAATGGAAGGCTTGGTTTTGCCTTTTGAGTTGTTCTTTTTCCCCTAGAACCGCAATCAAGCTGTTCAACCAGGTGGATGCTAAGCTTGTTTTCTTTGTCATTTCCAGCTCCGAAATCGGCGCCCGATGTTGAAATCGACATGCGTGTTTCATGGAATCTCCGGGGGGGCTATGGGGGGTGGCTATCCCTGGATAATCCCAAAATCACCCAAGGACAAGCCCTTAATAAGGCCTTATTACGGGCTTCATAAGGGATAGCCCCCCCTCCCCAAGGGGGGTCCATGAGTGTTTGAACTGCCACGCTGGGATCCGAGGGAGAGGTTCGGCCATGATCAGTTGGGTGCACCGCAAACTTGGGGGTTTTAGCGTCACAAGGTAATTTTGGGTCCAGCTAGGTGCCCTTTTTTACCGTTCCTTTTTTGGTTGGGAGGGTTCTCAAACTACTAAAATCGACTGCAGAAAAAACTTGGTACAAAATTATTCTAACCTCTCTCCTGGAGGACCCAGGTAGTTTTGGCCCAACTTAGCCGAATTGAAATGAGCTTGGACACTACTCAACTCCTACTCACGAGGCATACTAATTCCGAAGTTTCGATTCATGAGGAATGAATGGAATGGGCTGGGTGACATCGATAGATATCAGGGAAGCTGAAACCTTCAATCGTTTGACGGTACATTTCCCGGGGACTTACTCGCCTTGCGAAGCCTCTCGCTTAGCTCGGTGCGAGCCGCAGCTGCAACTTTTCGTTGCGGAGAGAAAAACGGCAGGGCTCACAGGTCGCATCTGGAGATGTGTTCAGAAGGTGGCAGTCAACGGTTTTCTGGACATGCGTCGGTGATTCCGAATCATCTTGCTATGAGAGTGCCGAAGTATCCACGGGTCTGTTTACGCACTCGACATGTACATCACCCCAAATTGCTGAACTCGGCTGTAGCACCTACCTGCCCAGCAGCACAATGCAGTCCTACTCAAATAAGCCAACAAGGTTTGCTGCGAATGTGCCCCAGTGACAGAATTGTGATGGGGATTTCCTGGACAGCTCAGACCCATTCTCGACTCTGCAGGCTAGAGTCGCTAGGTTTGGGGTTTGTGTTTTGCAGGTATCCCACCTCGAGTGGTTCCTGCAAAGTGCAATTGGAGCCGATGGTGGTGTCATTCGCCAGCGACAGAATGTGTGTCTAATCAAGATGGTGGCCCTCATGAATCCGCTTCGAAATGAGGACTGTTGAACAATGATGGTTTATTATATAAACCACGACTTTGGGCCCTCATGATTGCCCATGATAAACCACGAATCCGCCTCGTTCTTTCAGCCAGGCGGCGTTGCTGGAATGCTTTCTGTCCTCCAAGGAAATTCCGGTGCTGAGGGCACTTGCAGAGGCGGCATTGGGAACCAGTTGGCGGGTCAGAGGGTTTTCCTTTAGGATGAGGGCCCCACAATGGCCTGCAGTTTGTTTGTGTTGTTCATTCTGCTCGTTGGCAACTTTGCTTGATTTGTCTTCACACGGCTTCTTTGTCCCGTGAGGTCCTGTTGGTGCCTTCGCGGCAAACGCATCAAGCAACAGACCATTCTGCCTCCCTGCCGCCTAATGCACATGCACGGGCAGTGAATCGCCCCAAGTTTCTGCAAAGCGGCGAGACACGATTCCACCTATGAGGAAGTTCCGGGAACATGGCTCGGGAGAATCGTCCAAGGTTCCGACCCTTCTCGAGTAGCCTGACGTGGCAAACGCACTTTTAGCCAATGGAAAGCGATTTCTGTACCGCAGTTGGCGTTGACCAATTTAGTCCATGGACGAGCTTGGCAGCTACTTTAAAGAGCAGGGTTGTGGAATCAAGGGGTTTATTACCACTTCTGTGATACAAGGGAATCTCCCCCTGTATGTGGGGGGTTAGTCTTTGGGAAGCCCTTTTTTGTTGCATCACAGAAGTAGTCATTTCCCACAGAAGTAGTCATTTCCCACAGCCCTGGAAAAGCGTGTTCTTGACAAAGACGGTGGTGCTGACAAAGCGTCAACCAGCTTAGTCTGTGGACCACAAGCAGCATCTACTTCAACGGAAGGAGTGCACGGTGATGCTGGTGGTGTGAACCGATTTGCTTGGCCTTTTGGCCGGCGCTGAGTTCGTTTTGGCATGGTTTTGTGTCCTGTCAGCCGCTGTGCTCTTAGTGGTTTCGAACTGATGAAATCGTGAAAACTACACACTATTCCGCCTCCCACACCTTGCCGCACAGGTACGGACTGCAGTTTTGAATTGCATTGATTGCTTGCAAGGAGGCTTCAGACTTTGAGTTGCCTGTCTTCACAACGACAGGGTGAACCACCTTGGAGCAAACCGCAGGCAAGCAGCGGTGACAGAAAAGATATATTGTTGCAACGTCAACGTTTTCAATGTTATTGCATAGATACATTCTGATATGCCATTACCTGGGTCCCAAAAAAAGCTACCAGCCTCCATCAGGTCAGGGGGTGCTCCGGGTTTACCCTAGCACATATTCATGTCAAGGACTCTCGATTCAGATCTGGTCTCCGCATTGGCCATTGTTTGACATGATTCGATGATATTTTATGATAGAAACGCATTGCTCAAATGCGTATGTTGCAAATGGATCCAAGCCGTGCAGTTAAAGGCATTTCACGATTTGCATTTGCACTTTGACAGGAATATGTTTGAACCTGGCTTTTCAGGATCCAATCGTCCGGTTATCTAGCAACGAAAGGTGTAAGGCGTCCCTCCCCTCTTCGATTGCCTTAGGATGTTTTGATCTACTCTGAATGCCACCTGGTGGACTTGGACGTGTCCACGTCCATTTGAAGACGAGGTTTTCTGGTCCCCTTGGTTTTGAAGGGAATCGATTTCACATTTTGCAAATAAGTGTGTTTTGTTTTTTTTAGGGGGCTTAAGCAAATGGAGGTCCAAGTGTCGTTTGGAGTGAATCTTAAAGTTTGGGGGGAAGCACCCTTCGAAGAGTTCATTTAGGTGTCCGTGTCAAAGGTTAGGTTAGTCTTGAAATTACAGCCTTTCCAGAAATCGGAGTGTGCCTTATTGCCCTTCATGTTATGTTTCGTTCTGGGAGCCAAGAGGAAACTGGCGCCAGTTGCGCGCAGTTTTTGGGAAATACCCAATTTCCCT